TTGCCACCAAGCCTGAGGACCTGAGTTGGTTCCCTGGGACCCACAAAGTAGAAGGAAAGAACCAACTCCCATGAGTTGTCCATTGACTTCCATATGTACATTATAATACATATGTGCAGGCACACATACATATACACACAGAATAAATATATAAATGTAGTTAAAAATTTAAAAGCACGGTGACTAGCACCTGAGAAACAATACCCTCACATGAACACATACATGTGCGCACACACACGTGCATGCACATATGCACATGTACACACACATACACACATAAAACAGGGTCTTTCTTTGTAGCCTCGCACTTGAGGTGATCCTCTTGTTTCATCTTCCTGGGTGCTAGGATTACAGGCGTGAACCATCACACCCGGCTTCGATGACAACTCTTAAGTGCCAAGAACAAAATGCAAACCTGACTGTCCAGTAGCTGTTTTTCCCTTCACCTCCCTTTCCATCCTCTTCCTGTGCCACAGGGAACATCACAAGACCCGATTCTTGAGTCCTTGAGGCCGCGCCTGCCTGCTGTGTTCCCTGTCTGCTGATTGCGACCCCATACTCTCCGCAGCTGCAGCCCTGCTTGTAGTGCTGAACCCTTTCCTCTCAGTTCCAGCTGTCCAGGTACTGCCCCCTATCTCAGGAGCGGAGCAATAAGAGCCCGCTCCACCCACCTGCTCATGTGGTTGTGGCCAGGCATGGCAGGTGGCAGTGGAAGAGCCATCCAAGGCCTTTCTTGGCTCTGGGGTTCTGAGATGGACACAGCTGTGACCACCCCAGGTCTTTAGTCACAAAAGCCAGCCTTTCTGTAGGCAGTAGGAGCTGGAGTTGTTTTTTCCTTCCCCCTCCTTTTTTTTCTCCCTTTCTGAAGGGACGAGCCCCAAACAGGTGCTTGGGATGGTTTCTGATTGTTGTCCTCAGGTGAAGTAAAGCTCTCCTTCCCCTGTTCTGATGCCTGAAACCAAGAAGCCCACAAGAAAACACCAAGAAGGGCGAGGATACCCTGTTTTGTGCATCAGATGAAGCTGGGGAGAAATGGGAAGGAGGCAGCAAATTAGGATTAATTTAGCCCTGGATGGAGAACGTATAAAGAAAGGGGGGCTATTTGGCTTACAGTTCTGGAAGCGGGGGCTCTGAGCACAACACCAGAATCTGCTCAGCTCCTGAAGGCCTCATGCTGATCCACACAGCATGGAAAGTGAAAGAGGAGGTGGGTGTGTGGGGACTGGGAGAGGATAGAACAGCCAACTGTCCCTGTAATCCATTTATGAGGGCTCTGCCCTTGCGACCCAGACACCTCCCACTAGGGTCTACCTCTGAACGCTGCTACATGGAGGAATTAAACTGCAATGTGAGTTTTGGTGGGGAAAAAAACACATTCGACCCACAGGAGAGCCCAGCTTGCTCAAAGCTGAGCCCAGTATACCAATGTTTTAAACGTTTCACCATGTGATACTGTCATGTGTGCCACTTGAACACTTAGAAATTAGTGTGACAACATTAACTTTACTGGGCTCTATAGTCACAGAACCAGCAACCTCTTTCCTGACCAAACTCATATCAACAGTGGCTCAAAGGCAGTCAAGGTAGAGGCTGATCTCCCTACAGGTCCACAGGGACACTTGCTTTCCACACACGGAGTAGGAATGCATCAGGTAAACACATCTGCCCATGCTGATCCCTGCTTGCAGTCAGTGGAAATCAGGTCAAAGTCAGGTCAGCTGACTTTCCTGACTCTAGGGCCATTGTCCAGATGACTGAATTAAGAGTTTCAATGACCCTCACCAACTTCTGTATGTATAGACGCTGAATTGTTATAGGAAAACTGTATTTTGTATATAGGGAGGGCAGTCTCTGTTTATACGTCTCTCTTCCCATATTTAGCTGGTCACTAAATCCGCAGTCCACAGTGGAGTCAAAGCACAAACAATGAGTGGCTTGCTCAAAGTCACAGCTGGCAGGGGTAGCCCTGAAACATTAGCTCAGCACTGTGATTCAGGGCTTCACACTCTTTTAGCCATCACAGGACCTGTTGGGGTGGACATGAGCTGGGACTGGGTCTGAAGGGCTGAGGCTCTAGGCCAGGCCAACTCTGAATCATCCAAATGATCTTGTTCTGGAAAGTCTTGAGGCTTCAGTACAAAAATGCATGGGAAAGAAGAGGTAAGAGCAAAAACCAGAGTGCCCAGTGACATTAGCAGAGCTTCCTGGTCTCACAGAAAAGAAGACTTTGAACTTGAACACCATCCATTGGACAAGAGAGCCCAAAGTGCTCTGTGAAGTGTTTTCCTGTGCCTGGCGATGGTGCCTTAGTTGCTGACAGCTCTTTTTGTAAATAATAGCTTTTTGATTCTTTGAGAATTTTGTACAATGTATTTTGATCCTATTCGACCTCCCTACCCATCTCCTGTTGATGGTTTTGGAGTGGCAAGCACTCCACAAGAGAGCAGAGTTTGTCTAGGCGATTCCCCACAGCTGTGAGAGGAAGATCTGTGCTAGGCAACTCTCTGGACCCTCTAGTGGGTCCTTGGCTTGTGGCAATGCCACAAATCTGTGTCCAGATCCCAAGGATACTGGGCCATATTGGAGGTATAGTCTCATATTAAGGAAGAGCATTTGCAATGGCTTATTTCTAGATGACATTTTTAGGTGCTTGGGGTTAATTTCCACATGTGAATTTTGGAAGGGACTATAATCCAACCTGTGGCACTCCCTGCTGTATTCCGTATAACCTCCGTCTCTGGCTGTAAACTCTCCATTGAAGGCCTTCTTCCAACCTGGCACGTGGGATGAGAGCATTAACATACTACAAGTCCACACCAACAGTACAAATTATGGACTCTTGTTCTTTCTAAGGTTCAACAACAGCACTTGGAGTGAGAAGCCCTGTTCTTCCACTGAACTATGTGGCTGGGCCAGCGCCTGTGCATCTCTGAGTTTCCACATTTCAACACAAAAGCTGCTTTCCAAGATGCTGTATAAGCTATGACAGACATGAGAAGCTGTGCCAGAGAGTAAAGAGGTCATACCCACGAGCATCCTTTCCCAACATGAACATAAGTTCCTCCAGGCTCTCCTGAAAGCAGTTGATGCTCCACTGAAAAAACAAATTGAGTGTGGGAAAAGTTGAGAGGCAAAAGAAATGCAAGAGGATACTGTTTATTTGTGAACTTTGCACTTTCCTAACTTTATCATACTTCTCTCATTTTGGATATTTTTTCAAGTTTGCTTTTATAAAATCATTAGGGTATAAAACCACATTGTACTGGTTAACAAAAGAATCTGTTTGATGCTGGATACTTGAAGTCTTGCAAATCCTACTAGTAGTTAGAGACAAAATGGGAATCAGATACTGAGAGTGGTGCTTTCCCAAGGCAGTGACATAAGGAGGGGGACATACCATCTTCTCAGCATCAGCTGGTGCTCTCCAAAGGCTTTAGCCAAAATGATCAGAAAATGAGGCTGTGGGGCAGTCAGTAGGTGTGAACCTTCATGGAAGGAGGGGGATTGGGGAGAAAACAATTAGCTTGGGCTCAGGCTGGTCCAGGAAGGGGAGTCCACTCCAAGAAGAGGAACTAGCTTGTTGTCAAGTGTTTCCTGCTGGCCTTGGGTGTGAGCTATTGGAGACATTGGGTGGGAACATGCCTGTATCTGGCCACTTTAGACATTCTATGAAAATGGCAATTTCACATGGTTCAAACTAATGCTAGAGAGTATGGGAACAACCTCAACAGGTGGGCTGTGGCTCTAACCCTGAGAATCTCCCGGGTCTTCTAAAACAGACTAGCGTCTGGGGAGGATGAATTAAAACTCAGTGTTAGGAAGTGGTGCCTCCTGTAGGAGGACCAGTGTCTAGTCGGTGAAATTTCCTGGGACTCAGCTCCTGGCTCATCCTTGGGATTCTACCCTCTGTGGGTCCTCTGGATCCTCATTAAAGGGGTCGGACAGAAGCAGCTACCTCAGAGGACCATCCTGTGTGCCAAATGAAATGCTGTATGGCCCTGTCGCTTCCTGTGAATGGAGGTCCACTAGGTCCACCAGGTGTAACCGTCACCAGTCTGTCCCTGACACTTGTCTTACTGGAAGAAAATGTCTCACCATTGCTTGCATGGCCAGCTCCTATTTAGGGCAGACAGCCGCGCGGTTCCATCTCACCTTCCAGCCCTTGCCGGTCCCTGCACCTCGACCTCACACCTTCTTTCCCGGACATTGCAGGGCCTTGACCCTGTTCTTGCTCAGATCAAGGCAGAGCCCCCAGACCCTCAGAGCATCCCGAGTGTGTGCCCAGGGATCCTCCGTGCTTCTTCTTGCCTGGCACTGACCGAGTCGCGCCTATAGCCAAATGCAGGCACCTCTCCAGTGACCTGGTTCTACTTAGGGAGGGGACACCCATCTGGCAGTACTGTCCCTCCCTCTATCAAGAATTCCAGCTTTGTAAACGCCTCAAAAGACTCCGGGGGTGGGGTGGGTTCCCTTGTGCACAGGTGTGGATGTTGAGGCTCAGAGAGGCAAGAGACGTGTCCAAGGTCACGCGGCCCCTCGGGCGTGCGGGGCGCGGAGCTGGGCGCAGGCTGTGCGCACGCAGGACCTAGGCTCGCGGGGTTCGGCTATCGCCGCGCGGTCGCCGCGGAGGACCACTGCCGGGGCGCGGGCGGGCGCCAGTGCGCAGGCGCGGCGGGCGGGAGGGGACGCGCTCGGGGCG